TTTGGGGACCTGCTGGGTTGCACGTCCAGGTAAAGTTTCCACGTGGGTACAGAGTGGATGGAGGGCACCCTCCCTCCCTCCCCACCCAGACCAGAACCAGTCGGTCTCCAGAGGCCTGTGTTGACCTGCCTCTTCCTGAAGGCCAAGGCTGAGCACCCCCACACCCCATCCCTCGTCTCTACAACACAGCCAGCTCCTCAGAGCCTCCCACCAATGGGGGCCCAGATCACTAGACAAGCAGAAGTCGTCATAGGAGAGCTCTGGACGCTCAGCAAGTCATCAAAAATGTGTCAGTGTTATTTGACATTTGCCCTCCCGGGTGCGCCTGGGACGCTCCTTCACGGACTGTCAGGGGGCACCCAGAGTGGCCACCCTCACCCCAAAAGTGGTTGACTACCTATTTGGGTATGCCTCTTGGTAAGTAAAGTCAGCTGATCAGCATTCAGATTTACTAAGCTGGCGTGGAGGTCACCAATTCAATTTTTTTTAAGTTTTTTTCTATGTTTATTTATTTTTGAGAGAGAGAGCGTGAGTGGGGGAGGGACAGAGAGAGAGGGAGACACAGAATGCGAAGCAGGCTCCAGGCTGTCAGCACAGAGCTAGCTTTGGATCCTCTGTCTACCTCTCTCTCTGCCCCTCCCCTGTGCGTGCATATTCCTGTTCTCTCTCTCTCTCTCCCTGTCTCTCTCTCTCTCTCTCAAAAATAAATAAACATTTAAAAAAATTAAAATAAAAAATAAGATAACATAAAATGGCCATGGGGCGCCTGCTTGATAGGCCAACTCTTGCTTTTCAGCTCAGTTCATGATCCCAGGGTCGTGGAATTGAACCCCAAGCCAGGCTCCACACGGAGCCTGCTTGGGATTCTCTCTCTCCCTCAGCCCCTCTCCCCCACTCACACATTCTCTCTCTAAAATAAAAAAAATTTTTTCTAATTTAAATAAATAAATTGGCCATAATCTTTGATTCAAATAATTCTACTTAAAGGGAGTAAGGATATTTTTTAAAGATGCTTGCACAGAAATGTTCAGCACATAGTTGCTTTTAATAGTAACGAGAAAAAAATGGTAAACAACGCAAATGTCCAGTTAATAGAGATTAAACACGTATCAAGACTTTTATATCTTGGCTATTATAGGCCATTTCAAAAAATCATGTTATATAAGTCTATGACAAGGGAAGCTACTCAAGAAGAGAAACTATATACTAGAAGAGAAAACACAGGTTACAAATATAAACCTACGTGTGCATGTGTGTGTGTGTATATCTATTTATCTATCTATCTATATCTTTGTGTGCTTGTGTGCATATATATCTTAATATATACACATATACATATTTTTATAATACAAAAATATTTATCATATATATGATATTAATTTTGAAACAGAGTATAGTTATTATAATAATAAAAATAATGTAAATATATGTTCTAATACATTAACAGGGGCATATTAGATGGCAAAATTATGGGCGGTTTTCATTTTTCTTTATACTCTGTGGTACTTGCTCACTTTTCTCAATAAGCACCCATTGTTTTCATTATTAAGGAAAATGGAAAATGATATTAAAATGTTATATGTGATATACAACCCTACATGGGACTTTTCTCTTTAGAAGTTTTTCTGCAAATCCCTCTTACGTTATTTTTTAGTTTGTCACAAAATCATAATACACGTCCTTCAATAATAGCTAAACTACACAGGAGTGCATAAAATGAAAACGAAAGCCCAATCCACCCCCCCGCCCCCGTCTCCATTGAATCCCGTCCCCAACAATTAACCTCGGTTCGCATTACTTCGATGAACATTCTGCAAAACCTTTTTCTGGTAGCGTAGAAACATTCTGTCCGGCTATTGAACTCACTCATATTTTTTATCTCATGAAAATAAGATGGCAAGACGCAGATTGTCCTGAAATGGGCGTTTTCACTGAGCAGAATGGCCTTCTCTGCGAGTCATATGCTGTGGTCTAGGTCCCCTTTCTTGCTGGCCGTATCACATTCCAGACTGGAGTTGGGTGGAACTTAGTTGCCCTCGGCCCTGTCTTCCCACGTTTTCATTATCCCTAGGGGACCTAAACACCCTTGTGTACATTGCCTTCCATCCTGGGGAGTGTAGGAGAGCTCTCTAAAAATAACACTGCATATGAGGTGTTTTTTTTTAATGTTGTGGCTTTTGCAACTCTGTCTTTCAAAAAAAAAGGGGGGCCTGTATCGGTTTTTTTAGGTTCTCGTGAATGACAACCTTTACACAAGATCTCAAGCCTTAACTCACAGCTTAAGAAATCTTGGGGACCATCTGGTGCAGCCCCTTTATGTCATAAATAAACTGAGGCCTGGGGGGAGACAATCCACCCCGGGCACAGAGCCAGTGAGGGGCTGAGTCGGGACTGACCCCCAGATCCCCCAAATTCAAGACCCTTCTTACTTGCAGTTATGGTAGTTAGTATGCTAACAGGACCCAGAAGCTTCCATCCTCAGCCTGAAAAACTGATCCCACTGCCAAACTGGTAAACTCCTACTCACCCTTCAGGTCTCAGCCTGGATGTCACCCCCTCCGGGGAGCCTTCTTTGACTTTCCCAGAGATTGGACAAGGGATATCACCTCCTGCATGCCCCCTCGGGCCAGGCCTTCTGGTGTTCTGTCCCAGCTGCCTGTCGGGTCGTGGCCCCACTAGACTAGAAGCTCAGGGCTGAGGGTTGTCAGTCTGTTTCATGAGCCCATGCTGAAAGCCCCCCTGTCGTTCATTCATTCACTTGTTCAAGAAATAGCTTGGTGTCAGGTGCTTGATGCTGAGGAGAGAAGGCTTGGGTTGGAGAATTAAAAAAAGAGAGACGGGAGAGTTTCCTACAGGTGCCAGAAACTTGAGAAGGCTGAGTGTTGCTTCTCGGGGCCGGAGAGTCGGGTGCTCTAAAGCCGACGACACTGACAACCCCCTGTGTGCCTTTTCCACGAATGCCCTCAGCCAGTCCTCAACAACCCTCCGGGCAGCTTCTGATCCAACATTTCACGGAAGGGAGGCTCTGAGAGCAGAGGCTGCGGGCCAAGGACACACAGCTGGTCTGCCGGCCTCCTGTGCCCCCCACAATCTCCACTGTAACACAGCAAAACCCTCACGGGGCAGGGGAAGTCCAAGATTCAAGAGAGGCTGTGCCAGGAAAGAGTGGCTCATAGGCCAGGAGACCCGGGGGTCCGGTCCAAACCTCACTGCCAGTTGGCTGTGTGCCTCGGGGAATTCACCGTGCCTCTCTGATCCTCAGTTACTTCATCTGAAAAATGGGCTTGGTTAACACTTGCCCTACTCTCTGTACTCGGTGGTCTTATTTTCTTCAGCAAAACGACGCCCCGTGGTCGAACAAATCCAGTCTTACTTACAGGAGCAACAGAAGAGAAACCATGAACGCTGAGTCCCCGAGATATGTGATTCACACCCGCCAGGGGACCAGGGACTGGGGATGTGTCTCTTGCACACACACCACTGGAACGCCTGCAGCAGACTCGCGTGGGGGTAGGGGGTCAGAGAGAAAGGGGAGGTCGGTTCATTCAAGGTCGTCTTCTGGGCCCCATGCACAGAGCCCCAGCAAGGAACTATGAAGAGTCCCTGGGGTCCGCTGAAGAGATTGCACTAGAGTTTGCAAACCCTTCGTGTCTTTGTGATGGAAACTTCTAGAAGCCCTGCCACGTAGGGATCATCCCCTACTCCATCTTAAAAAGGAAGTCTCGAAAGAGGGAAATAAGTTGCCCAAAGATCATTCACCTGGTCAGAAGGGAAAGTCGGCTTCCAGACCCCCAAACCTTCTAGTCCCCACCCTGGTATGTTCGTCACGATATAATCAAGGTTCATCACGATATAATCAAACCACGATTGTGTTTTGCCCTTTACACAGATGATTCTGTTTCATCTTCAAGCCATCATGATGTATAGATGAGGAGTCTAGGTACCTTGCTTGAGTCATACACCCAAGATTTCACTACCAGGAAATGAGCCCAGGATTGTCAGGGAGCAAAACTCAGCTCCCAGGAGGGGCTGGGAAAGATTTGGGGGGAAGGTGCCCTGACCTGTCCCTGCAGGCTGGACAGGCCCTCGAGGGCAGCCCCACCTCCCTGGGACTCGGGGAAGTGCACACACCGAGCCACCTCACAGAGCCAGCACACCCCTCTCCAGCATAACCTTCAATCTCCTGCCCTCTGCCCTTTTGCCAAAAACCCAGCCCTTGACACCTTGTCACACAAAAGAAAGAGTCAAACCTTTCAGGTCCCAGGACAGAAAACCAACTGACGCAGCCCTGGGGAGTTCCTAGAACAAGAGAACCGGCCTCAGGATCATCGAACCCCGTATTTTACAGATAAGTCATCCGAGGCCCTCAGCACCCACCTGGCAACCGGGGGCAATCTGAACGCTGGCACCTGCCCGGGCCGGGGCCCCTCCGCCATACCTGCGTGCCCCTCAGCTGCCCATCCAGAACCGGAATCTGATCTTATCATGCCCCACTTTCTCCCTCCTCCAGCCCCAACCCCCCACCAATGATCTGACTGAGCAGGAGCAAAGCCCGCGGGAAAGGATGTACTTCCTGGTGTGGGGGGCGGGGTGTCCTTCTGCAAAGCCTGATCCTCTCAGTGGGACCCCCTTCTCCAAGCTGCCAACTACAGGTTTTCAAGGATTCAGGTCACCGAGTCATTTCACAAATAAATGCTTGGAGAGCTCGTCCCACCATCACCGGGCAGAGGCATCTCCCCTGGCCACCAGGCCATCCCAAGGTCTTTGGCAACCATTGCACAGATTCATTCATTCATTCATTCATTCATTCAGCAAACACTGAGGTCCTACTAGGTACCAGGCACATTCCTGGGCCTCCTTCCTCTCCTCCAGCCACCCCTCTCTGCCTCCCAGGGCTCAGCTCCTCCCCCTTCCCCAGGCGGCCCCAGTGGCCCCTTTGCACTGGCAAGAGGGCAAATCCTGGGGGCGCTGGGGAGTAGCAGAGCCCGGCTGACAGACGCATGCGCACCCCCGGGGGTTACCTGGTGTGGGCCAGGACAGCACAGGCAGGCGCCTCTCTGGCAGAGGCCGAGGAGGTACTGATACCGGGCCCTGAGGGCTGCTAACCCCCTCCCTGCCCCTTCGGCCTCCACGCCCGCCCGCCCGCCTGGCTGGGCTGCTTGGAAAACCCAGCCCCAGCTCAGCTGACTTCCTCTTGTGTCATGGAAAGTTCGATGTTGAGAACAGGAAACTCCCACCTGGGATCTGGGGTCTGATGGGGGACTGTGAGCCTGGGAGGCAGGAGGGGCAACTCTCGGGGGCTGGGCACCCAGAGGGAGGGCGAGAGGGGGGCAGGGGAGGTGGCCCACTGGGCTGGGTGGAGGTGCCCTTTCACTGGGATGGGTCAGGAACCGAGCCTCAGGGGCCCCGGAGTTGCCTCCAACTTTCCAGAAAACAAACAGAAGGGATTAGAACCCACGGACTTGTCTGTAATGAAGACTCAGGGATCACATAAAAAGTCAAATTTTCTGTTTGTTTTCTTTGCTTTTGGTACGTGGGGGTGGCGGGGAGTAGAAAAGTTTTGAAGACGGAGAAACGTGGGTTCAGATCTTAAGTCTGACCTCCCGAGGCCAAGTGCATTGCTTTCTGAGCCTCAGTTTCCTCCTCTGTGAAATAGAAAACTCCACCCACTTCCCCGTGAAGGCCGGGAAGACTAAAAGAGACCACACCCAGGCTCACTTAGATGCTCAGTAAAATCCCTTGTCCCTTTCAAAGTGCAGTCATGTAAGCGGAGTGTGGTAACCCAGGGTGTGAAGGGCCACTTAAGACGTGAAGCGAGTGTGACCAATAAAAACTTTCTTTCT